TATCTAGGTAAATCAAATAATAGAATTTTATTACTATGTCAGCTCATTGCATGACTTGACAACATGGATAAGCAATCTTTCGAAAATAATGTGTAATATAATAGTAGATACATAAAGATAAATTATGACAGGATCGACTCCAATTTGGGTGTTTCATATCCCCGCCTCCAAAAAAGATGGGAAAGGGGGAAAAAAAAAAAAAAGACTTTTTGTAACCATGAAAAATGATTGGCCATTTTCTTTTAAGTTTTAACCATGGAGATACCCTAAATTGATATATCATCATCATCATTATCTATGTTTTTTAGTCATCAAACTTGAGACTTCGGCTTTATTAATATTTGGGTTTGTAGCATGAGTTAAGAGGATGTTAGGTGTTTAGAATTAGAATCGGAATGGTTACTCGGATCTTTTGTATGTATATGATTAATTTTTGTCCCTATTTCAATAGCTCGTTGAGACTCATTCTTTTGAGATAACCGCATAAAGAGACAGTTACAACTAAGATATGAAATAGAGCGAAGATGTTATCACTTTTCACTTTTCAATCGTATCATTGTATTCACAATGGTGTTTCATTGTAAACTCATATTTACCGTCGATATGGCATTTATGTCTTCCACATTTTATAGTACATGTTTTTTATAAATATATAAGGTAGGAGACAATATTTAAGCCCGTGTTTGATACCGAGTAAAATTAAAATTTTAATTTAAATCAGAGTCAATAATTAATTTTAACCACATATTTTATGAATCCAACAATTTTTCAACCCCACATTTCATCAACTTTTTTTAAAAATCTAACTAAAGATCTGATTTTAATCACCACCAAACAGGGGCTAAAGTTTTATAAGCATAAAAACTTCTTCCTAATGTAGGATTTTTCAAAAACATCGATCGTTTAAACAAGTTGGTCACAATAGAATATTATGAATTTTGACTAATTAGACTTCAGGAAAATTGTAAGAAAAATTATGTAGCACCATGTTAAGCACTTGTAGTGTTTCGTAGTATTGCTCAAATAATTTACCTCATTCATCAAGGCTCAGGACAGGACAGGTTGGGGCCGTCAAGGATGCGGCTCATCCTTTAGTATTGCTCAAATAATAGTTTTTGGATCAATCGCCTTCAGCGCATGAACATGACATGCATCCTCAGCTAGACAATTTAGTCAAACCAAAAGGCACATTCCAATTATATCTGAACATATGTGACTTTTAGACTAACTTCGAGAATCCAATACTAGTTAATCTATCTAGGCAGGGGCGGACCCAGCACCTGGCCAGCCCCCGCGGCCTCCCGTGCTCGGTCCGCTAGAGCTTCTTCAGACTTCAGTAATTGCCGAGTCCACCGGGAAGAAGAGGAAAGTGAAGAT